GGCAGGAAAAGAAACCTTACCCTCGCCCAACACCCAACACTTGTTGCTGTGCGCGGCTGTGCGCTCACTGCATACTCCTAACATTATTTCGGCAGTGCACTAGATTTCTGCGTGCGACCTGCGGCATTGACTAAGCCGCCAGCGGCGAGCTCCCACGGCCTGGTGACTCCCCCCCCCCCTCTTCTTACCCCCCGCTCCCTTATGCTCTGGTTGACGAGGTATTAATGCACTCATACTCGGAGAGATGAAAGCTGGCGTTCGGTAGTGCTCCGTGAGCCCCCCTCGGCCCGGGGCGGAGGGCGCAGGGAGGCCTCCCAGCGAGCCACGACGAGCAGCAGCAGCGCTGCGCCTTGTGTATTCATCTTTCGTTCCACTGCTCGTCGTTCATTACATTTCTTGTTCCCTTTCCATCACCTCTGCTTTTAATTTGACATTCATGCTTTGGGCGAAACAATAAAGAGGCATGAGAAAACAGTCGCCCGCCCCTGGCACTTCGGGACCCCCCACCCCGCGCTGTTGTTATTGTTGTTCACTGGGTCATAGTTTTGTCGATTTCTTTTCGGCGGGGCGGCCTGCGCTAATGTTCATCCGACCTCCTAGCACCAGCATACCGCGAATACAAGTACGATGTGGTTTAACCGAGTTATCGCTTTACTGGTTCGTTGAATCGTTCAGTGCAACTCGTTATCACCTAGACCCGTGACTCACTTTGAACACGGTCCTGCGGTGGTGCCCTCCGCATGCCGGCGGCTGAGCTGTATTGGTGGTTCAGCTCTTACTCTTCTTCACTCATCCTCTCTCTCTTTGCCTTCTCTTTCTTTACTCTCTCGCTTTTCTGTCTCGCGTTCAGCCCAGCCGCCCGCAGACGGAGGGGAGAACCTCTATCTGCGGCTGGCTGCGTCTCTATTGAGGCGTACTCCTCGGACGTGTCCCCGGCGAGGGCCTCCCCGGCCCGGCCGCTGGTCCCTTCCCCGCCAATTGCATGCACTACTCCTACACCGGGGCGTGGCGGGGGGCGGCGCGGGGGCGCGGGGGGCGGCCCCACCGCGGGGTCGGGCGCCGCTCCCGCCGGGGTCGCCCCGGCTAGCGCGAGGGAGACGGCGGCCGGGGCCGGGGGCGCGCCGGGGGCGGGACAAAGACAAAGGGAATCGGAAGTTGAGGAGGCTCCAGGGCGCTGGAGGGGGCGCCGGCTGTTTGTCTTTTCCGCATTATAAAACGGCGCCTCCATTGACGCGAAGGGTTCAGTACGTTGCAGAGGGTGCGCGAGGGTGTTGTGCTGTGCGTGTGTCAGTGTGTGTGTGCCCCCCATGGCGAGCACCATGGCGTCGGCGTGCACGTGCTGCTGCCTGCTCGTCGCGCTGACAGCGGCCTCGGCCACCTCGACGACAACGTCGTCGCCGCCGCCGCCGCCCAGCACGGTGCGCCCCGCCTCCACGCTGGTCGAGGCGATGGACGGCGTGTCCGTGACCGTGGACGCGGACGGCGCCACGCCCGTGGGCACGGGGCTCAAGGTGCTGCTCAAGCTCTACGACGACTGCGCGCGGCGCGACGGGCTGGTGCAGTGCGTCAAGGTGAAGGCCGCCACTCTGCTGGACCGGGTCGCGCGCGCCGGCGACCTGCCCATCACCGAGACCCTCGTCCTGGTGCGGCGCGGTGACGCGCACCGCAGCCAGGGCGGGCGCGCGCTCAGCGAGGCCGAGGTGGAGGCCGCGCTGCCGCCCGGGGACTCGTACGCCGCCAAGGACGCGCGCCTCAACGAGCTGCTCTGGGAGCGGCTCGCCAGGGTCCTCAGCTCGCACACCGTCCAGCTCAGCTTCCCCAAGGTGTCGGCGTCCGAGATGAGGGGCATCAGCAGCGGAGGCACAGGTGAGTCCACCGGCCAAGCCGGGTTGTTGTGCAGGGTGTGCAGGGGTGGGGTCCTGGGCAGGGGTCGTAGGAGAGTATCTACTGTGTTAAAAGCACACACGAAAAATTTGACCGAGGGGCGCCCAACTGTGGTAATCAGGTGTACACAGACTTGGTAATCACTGGTAATCCCTTCTAATCCCTGGTAATCCTCACATTCGTGAGGTCCTTTAAAAGGACAAATTTGTTGATTTAGATATGAATTTTTGTGCACATCTTGCCTAAATGCCAACGCGCATGTTTAATATATGGTAACTTTGCATCCCTCCCATGGACAAAATCATGATTTGGCCAATCAGAGAATGCAAATTTGTTACTTGCATGATGAAGAATCAAGAACTACCAAAGAGTTGCACAAAAATTCATCTTTCTCGGAACAAAAAATTGCCGTTTCGATTTAGAATGTAGGTGGATCATACCTAGTATACATAGGTAATCTTTGGTAATCATTGGTAATCTTTGCAATCTGGTAATACGGTGTACACATTTTTATGGAGTCGGCACCCCTCGAATTTGACTTATATTATAGAAGAGATTAACTCATAAGGTACTGGCAGGTGAAACTCTTTCGTCCTTGTCAAAGAAAATGAGGTTGGTTAAGATCCTATCGATATTTTTCAAGAGCAGGATCTTGACGATTTCTACGCGCTTGTATTTTCAACACGTTGACACAGGCGTTTGCCCACTTTGTGCGGGGCTTTATGTACAAATCGAATCGGGAAACGGTCGGCCTTTACCTGTGGGGAAAGAAATAGCCAGTATAGTTAACTTCGTGCGTGGAAGTGTTTGGTGTGAAATTGTCAACGTCGTCATTCATCATTCATAATGTAGATGTGGCAGTAAGACAGCTTATTCGTGCGTCACGCTCTCAGTCGACTTCGCGTACTGTAGTGCTGTACATTTACTGAAACTACAAGAACTTCTGTTTCAGGAATATGTGCACTGAATTCAAAGTACATCGGTATCGGGGCCTGTGATATAACAGGTACACTAGATTGTTAGTGTTTGCTACGTATGGGATGTGCGTCGTTCTGTGACCTTTTGTTTTGTCAATTTTTCTCCAAACTAGGACCATTTTTTTTCCTCCCAAGGCGACAGGGGTGGCATGGCGGGGCGTTCACTGTGACGTCAACACAACTGTCGTTTCTTGTCCAAATGTTCACTTTCGGCGTCCCATTTCCCTCGCGCCGACACACTTCCCGGATTGGAATGTAGGCGAGGTTGGCGGTGACACTTAATACAAAGTTGGTGGGGACCGCAACCACAGCCTCCTGCGCAGCGCGCCGTGCGCGCCGGGGAGGGCCCCGCGG